TTATTTATATGCTTTGATTTACTATATTATGTGATTCTTTCTAATGTAGCAAACTTAAGTTCCTAGGAGTAATAGATAATAATTTTTGTTTTATCTTGCAAAATCATTCAGAGAATAGTTAAATGTAATTTTTATAAAAATTTAGGACAATCTTTTTAATTCACATATTCAATATAAGAACACAATTACATATTTTATAAATATATCTAAGATAAATTATGCATTCAAAAAGCATTTTTCTTCTCAAATACGGTTCATCCTAATATGTACAAATAAAGAAAATATATGCAACTGAGCATTTAATCACTGAAATTTTATTTTTGTAGCAACAAAACATTCACTATGAATATCATGATTCACTAACATCTCAGAAAGGTATATGCAAAGTTGCTTTAAAAAAATTATTGGCCTAAACCACAAACTCTACATAACTGATATTAACCAGTATATATAACGTTTTAGACTACTTACAATCACACGCTTTTATTCGTGTGTAAAAATCCATTAAACTAAAGAGTAAATAAGCTAAGAAGAAGATCAAAGCTGTTTTTGTTTTAAGAAGTCAATATATTCATCATGAAATGAGAAAACCGCTTATTTAATTACAAGTTTGTTCGAGGATATATAAAGGCTATAAAAGTTTGGTACTTAGTGGTTTCAATGTTGCATGAGATGAGTCCATGGACCATGACTCTGAAAGAGACACAAACCACCCCAATGACTTGAGTTGTCTCTAAACTGTCCCTTTCAAACCAGTACCTCTGCCTCCAACTTTCTTCATCTCTATTTCAACCAATCTCTTCCCATTTTCTCCATTATTAGCAGCAAAAATCTTCGAACTGCTTTGTATATACAAACTGTAACTTTCTCATAAATTGTAACTCTTCTCCGATAATCCTCTCATCATCTTCTTCTCTTCTCCTTCTCCACTCGCATTTGTCTCAACAATTTTCTACCACTATGGCAAGAGTTAGACCTACATCTTAACATTTAGACCAAAACAAAAAGAGTTAGACCTACATTCTAAATTTAAGCAAAAACAGTTATGAAACAACCAACCTAAGCTCCATCTTCTTCCTTGTTCTTTTGTTTTTGAGAACTCACAATTACCAAAGCCAAAACAATGCATACTCGTTGTTTATGTTTAGCTCCAAAGTTGATCAAAACCATTGTCTGGATTTTAAGTTTCTCAAACCATTAACTATATTATGTGATTCTCTCTAATGTAGCAAACTTAAGTTCCTAAGAGTAATAGATAATAATTTTTGTTTTATCTTTCAAAATCATTCAGAGAATAGTTAAATGTAAATTTTATAAAAATTTGGGAACAATTTTTTTTAATTCACATATTCAATATAAGAACACAATTACATATTTTCTAAATATATCTAAGATAAATTATGCATTCAAAAAGCATTTTGCTTCTCAAAACCATTGTTGGAATTTAAGTTTCTCAAACATTTGCTTTTTCTTGGACCAAATGCATCAAAATTCTCTTAAGTATGTTGTGCAACCCCATATCTCAAAGTCAGAGATCAAACAAGGGAGTAGGGTTGCAATCCATGTGATCGTGTGTCAAGTGGCAATCAATTGCTGCGTTAACCTCTCTATGTCTTGCCTTGTATTCTCTGCAGACAACGAAGGACGATATGTTGCGTTACAACTGCAAAGAATCGATTTGTAGAAGAACAAGCAAGGAAGATAAGGGAAGGTAATGACAATGGAAATAGAGCGGTTGCTTTTGAGCGAAGACAACAAGTTTGAATTTGTCAATAGTGTAGCCGCTAAAGAAACAAAGTACATAGAAGGAAACAGAGACGAATGTGGAGGTACCAGAAGCCATCTTTCATGTTTTGAGCAACCATCTCAGGTTTGATCGTCCTGAGGCTTATGTAGAATCTAACCTGGTATTCTAAGAAGGAACTTACATGAGAAATTAAAAGATAATTCACCCAAAATAAACGAAATATGCAAACGAAAATAATATATTCATGACTAATGAATCCATCAATTGAACACACAAATCTCCAAGTTCATTCTTTTTCCTCAGATCTTCTTGGATTTTTTTTAGTGATCAAAGAAACAACGACAATATTTGTACCTCTGATCGCAGAGAACCAACTCTCTTTTCTCGACCACCAC